TAACACAAATCTGTATTGTTATATTCACATCAAATCACGATTGATACACAATCTTTTCTATAAAGAAATTTCTAATAAGAAAGTCTTACTTACTATTCACATTGTATATAAATAACTGTATTATAAAACAATGTATAATAACTGTTAAGTTTACGATTCATAAACTCTAGATGTTAAACACCATAAATACTAAGTATTGAATTTTTAAATTGTTACCCTGAAAATGTCCAGTATCTACCTATGGTCAAAACGTCGAATGTCTATCAATATTATTATTGAATTATAGACATTCTGACAACAACTGTCATGTTAACCACATTAACACTTAACCGTCCATTTTCACGTTCGCGTGAGTTCATAAATCTAGTTATTATCGACCTCTCTCGCGCTGAGTTTCGAAATCCAACTGTCATCGACCGCTCCCACGCCCACGTGAGTCCACGAATCCGACCATAATCAATCATTTTCGCGTCTATTTGAATTCACAAATCATCCACGCCCATAAATCGATTGCGAATTTTATGTATTTATGGCGCGAGCGAATTTAAAAAGCATACGTTAACTTGAAAAGCACATGTCCACGCAAGACGAAATACTAACATTAGTATATTAATGTAAATCGTATTCTTTGTTAGCCTAATCATATATATCTCCCTTATCTTCTTGTGGAGACGTTTTGTAAACACTATTGGAAATAGCATGATTTTCTAGAGAATATTTCAGAATCTATTATATATAAATAATGTATTATAATAAGCAGTATATTTAATCCATTTAACACTATTTGGTTCAAAAACTCTGTATAACATAAATATACTACGTATCTCTAAAAAGAACCACGCTTTTCACCTAAATTTAGTTCAATTTATGTAAAGGACGTTCTGCTGTGTCGTAATATTTATCATTTTATATTAATTTCATACATTAAAGAGCAATACTTTGAAGTCGTAACATTCAGTGTACGTCCAAGGCAAACACCAAATTAATTTCCCTAAGGTTAATTGCTTTTGAATAATTAATTATTTGAAATTTATTAATTAAGTCGAAGATTTCGCAACTTAGAAACTGATGCCGTAGTTGATATTTCATATGCACCTCTCGTGTCGGTTGTCGACGTCTTTCTAACAAAGCAAACAATAAGTCTCTCATCCTAACCAAGATGCTTCTCCAAACATCTCATTAAATTAATTAAACCTAATAAATTGGCTCTCTTTGCTTATGTGCGGACCAAACTCCGAAATGGAAACATGCAATCAAGGACTGCTCGATTTTCCAGAATGTTTTTATTAAAATTAACTATATTTCAACACTTAACATTTTTTAATTAATTATTCAGTAAATACTGTTTCAACTATTTAAGTACAATAAGCACATCTTATCGTCTCGATGCTTACGAGAAGAACTCTATTTTCATATTATTATTAATTATTATTCAATACGATTTCCATTTACTTTCGTCGCTCCAGGTAACGGAGCAGAAAGTCTTCCTTTGTTAAACCGTTCCAAAATAGCAGCTTTCTAAATGTTTCGTATCGTTCCGTAACGACGAACGTTTAGCCGATTTTTTTTTTTTGAAAAATAAAGAAATCCGACCCGTAGGATGGATGTGGAGCGCTGGAATTTTTTTATCGACTAAAAACTCGCTAACGTTGAACGAAGTGTGACACAATGCACCGTTGTGATGCAAAATACAAGAACAAGAAATGCTCGTGCAATTTTCTTTTGTGATATTTGGAGAACGTACAAATTAAAATAATAATTCTGATAATGAAGAATTTTGCTTTTATTTTTTAAACAAGATTGGAGTGTAGGTTTTTCGAACATTGTATTTATTTGTAATCATTGTCAAACGACGTAAATCTCTATCTGATTAAACGTTTTCAAAATTTTAAATATATTGTTTGTCCTGAAATCGTGGATCCTTTTAAGCTCAATATACCGACTTATGGCACTGAGAAAATATTAATAAATAATTAAATATTACAAAATTTGCGATACAGAAATTTATACTTCGTCTCGTAGTTTCAGAAACGTTTCTCATGAAACTTGACACCAAGGATACTTCTTTTGAAGCTTCTCTGGAACGTATATATCTTTTACAACACTTTAGACGCCTTTGAAACACAGCTTATAAATCATTCTGGAAATCTTTCACGGGAAGATTTGTAATTTACCATGCTTACTTAGAATGCTTAACGACGAATGGCGACGCGTTTCAGAGAAACTTCACAGGGAATAATTGAAACTTTATGTCGGTTACGAATCCAGTGTCAATAATTTAGTAATTTGGTTACTTCGATATGAAGCACTTTACATTGCAAAGATTGATTAGATAAAATGGAAGAAATGGTTAAATAAATAAGTACAGTAAATCATTTGAAACCTTCATTTTAAAATTTCTTTATTTGATTATTATTGAGTCATACAAAAAATCGTTCCTTAAAAAATATCTTTGTGACCATGTTTGGGCAAGTAAGGAAAAGTAATCTGTCACGATTAGTATCGCTCGATCTCCCACTTATACTTCACGTAGTACTTTGAGAAAAATTTCTTCCTTTCTACTTGTCTACAAACTAACAGCAAATGCAAAGAAAGAGTAATCGAAGTTACATCCGTAGAATCAACCGAAGAAGTAGAAAGTCAACCAACAAACAGAAAGTGCAATTCCATGAACAAACGAAAAGATAGAAAGAAAATTGGTGAGCGATAAAGTTCGATGCTCAGTTTCTATTATTTGGATCATCCTTCCATTATAGTCAGGGCAAAATCTTGATCGTTCGTCCGGTTTCTTCGAGAAATTCGATAGAAAAATGTTCAGTAAAATTCGTACAGAGAAAATGAGCAATTTTACTCGCCACGCGTCTTTATTATTGCGACGTTAACTTGTAACTTGCACTTACGACAGTTTACTGTCTATAGTACAGCAGCAGTCAGAGTCTTGTTTCTCAACTTGTGAATCATGTATCAACGCGACTTTATAAGGTGCAGTGGAAGCAATATACGAGCCACGTGTCAGGCTACGGTGTCGGACCAAGTTAAAATTTGTCACTTAACGACGCTTAACACGTATGCTCGCGAAATAAATTGCTTGTAGCCTACAATTGGACGTTTATTTCCCGTGTATTTGCCGTACGTACCTTTACCTCGAAGCCAAAACGAATACGAAGCGAATTGCAAATATTCAACGCTATATTATATCATTTTTATTTATCAGTAATTTATATATAACTCGACGAAATACGAAAATGTTTTGGAATGCATTCTACATAAAATTGTCTTGCTATGGAACGAAATACAGTACACTAGATTAGTAGAACGTTTCTTTTTTCTGCATACTGCTTTGATAAGCTTTCTCCCAGTATTTTGACTAACAAGATACGTCGGGGGAATCACCGTTTTATGAAACCTACGCAAATTCACGAATACATTACTGCTAGGAAAGGAATCGAATTAAAATTAAAGGGAATAAAATTAAAATCTAAGTGTGCACGATTCAGATTTATTTTAATTATTCCAAAATAAATACGTAACATTCATTAAAATCCTGATTTATCGAATAAAATTTCGTTTAGAATTTCTAACACACAATATTATTTTAGCGCCAATTTAATTTCACGATTTTTCTTATAGTATACGTACAATGAATTTTACAATATTCACTTGTACTCTTATTGTTTGTTTTCTGAAAAACATATGTAGTCTCCCTTAAACTGGACAAAATTTGGTATCAAATTCTGGTTAGCGTCCAATGTAAATAGGAAATATATGTATAGCAAAGACGAAAGGACAGAATCTTCAATTTCCACTGTCTTAAAACAGTCTAACAACGCGTATCAAAATATTTAAACTTTAGAAACGTGCAGTTCCGAAGCTGCTAGTGTTTTCTCCATAATTGAGCCGCCGTTAGCGGCGGCAAATCTTCCTCTTTAAAATGGCTTTTGGTTTTTGGTGATCGGACTTTCCGTTTCAAAGATATCGTAATTTATGTAAAAGGTAATTTTTCTTAATTCGACTATCGCTGTCTCCGTCTAACGCATCGGACTTCCTTGTCGCACGTTGACCCACTAACCGAGTGACCGAGTGACGTAATGTATACTCTTTACTGCGAGCACGTGCGGTCAACGACCTTGGCAAGGCCGTAGTAAGAAAGTAAACAAACTTGGGACCCTTATATCTCCATAACTAGCCACCGCATCGACTTGAAATTAAAATCGCTATATCTCCGGAACTAATAAAGATTCCAGAACTCTATCCAATGAAGATATGAGCTATTATTATTTTTGCTGTCTTCTATGTTTATTTTCACATTTACTTTGGCCTTACATACCCAAAGTAGTTTCAGCACTTCCTATTGATCATACGACTGGTGTGGAATAAAACTGGATCATAAATTGTTTATTTAATTGAAAACGAATTTAAATACAGGATGTTTGCGTAATTACTAGCTAGCACTTTTTCTTAAATAGTTGTTTTTTCTAGAACTAACTAGGGTATCGACTTGGAACAAAATTCGTTTTCAAGGGCATTTTATCTTCTATTAGATGAACATTCGAAAAATTTTTAATATAAAATAGAAGGATATTATCTTACGAATAAGCATCAAAACAACTTTCTATACATATAATGCAGAAATTAGAAGTACGTTGCCTCGTAAAAGAGAAAATGAAAGACTGATCGTTTGGTTTAGTGTTAATCCCTTAACGCTCATGCCCAAGTCTGACTGCTTTGGAAAACGGTACTTGTGCAATGTAACAGTTTAAGGGATGACGATATACGTTTTTCTTGAAATTATACGTTAGATACAACATTGTGTTAATTATTACAAAATAACATTTAAAAAAAATCCTGGTTCATGAAATACACTAGAATAATAGTATTATCTACGCTAGAATATACTGGATCACACAAAATCTTAATAACAAATCGACGATTTCAAGCTTTCAAAAATGTCAGCAAAAGTTAAATATAAAATTAATTATTGTTGTTGATTTTTTTTCTAGAATTTGGTACATGGGTCTCTGTTGGATACTACGAGGCCTGAAACGACAGCAACAATTGACCGATCGTAGATCGCGATGGCTGAAAGAGAAGTACCTTCAGCTCTATTTCGAAGAAGTTTGTCTCGAGCCAATGACGGCGGACGCTATAAGAGCCTTCGGCGGTCGCGATTGGTCCATGGCTGAAAGCATCGGGACGCTTTCGCCAACGAGTAGCACCCTTCGCAAACGAAACATTAAAGGGAAGAAAACGAAATCCATTGGCAATATTCACGCGTTAACTAAGGTTTGTACGTTTCGATGTAGCAGATAATTTTTCCGCAAAACGTATCTCCATGGGAAGCAAACACTCACGCGAGCTTATTTTCTTGTAACAGAATAACAGCTAATCAAACTAATTTCAAATTGCGTGCATCATCCGGTTTGTTCGAAAACTCCGAAACAATACATCAGTATCTTGAATTAAATTTTTTTAATAGTGGTCGTCTTCGACACTCGACAGTCTAATTAGAAAATCAGCAGAAATGTATAATAATTATTAGAAATTTATTAACCCCTTGTCGTAATAATTCTTAATGTCAAGTTGTACAATCGTGAGGCTACTCATCATCAAGTCTTATAAATTAAAATTAACGCATTTTTACATTGACGAGATATTCGTAAAACAAATTCATTTTTGTGGCCATTCCTTGTACGAACAAATTTGCATAAAATTAAATAGTATTGAAAAATTACATTGAATCGTACGTCAAGGGGCTAATTCTGTAAATGTTTTGAATATTCCGTAACTTTGAGACAATTTTGGACGTACGATCGTTCGAGCTTTTGTGAAATTGATCGAAAACTGACATAGTGTCTGAATAATTCAGCACTAGACTGTAGCTAGCGAACGAAACGAAAGAATAAAGGGAAATAGAAGTGTAGAGAAACTAATGTGAAGATTTAGCATACATATAGTACCTTTTGATGTGAAGATTGTACTAAACCACGTGGTTGTTTGGAACAGGATTTGAGCCTAAAACAGTATGACTCTTCGTCCTCGGATGGAGGCTTATCAGCGGCCCCTCTTCGGCAGATTACGGGTAGCAGGGAATCCTTGACGAAAATCATACCGGCATCTCCACGGTCTAGCAGAGATCGAGTTCCCCCGCGCAGTCCTCCCGGTTCTGCTGAACGAATTATTAGTTCCAACTTGCCTTACTCCAGCTTTCAGAGGTAGGGATTTCAATAATTTTCTATCTCGAATACGCGCCAAAGGACGCGAAACCGTCGAACGCTTTGGTCCGGGGCTCGAGAATTCTTGGCGTTCACGGCGTTATCGATTAAGTGCGCGCTACTGTTTCTTGAAATTGCAACAACAAAAGCGAAAATACGTGTCTTTGTTTCTTTTTTCAAATATCAGGTCATCCCTCAAGTTCGTGCCGTTCGACATCCTGAAATTGACGAGGATAAACTTTCTAATTTAATGGAAAACAAGCTAAAGTCAGCTCAGGGGATTTCTGAAAATTTAAACATACTAATATCAATGATTCATAGAAATTTGAAACGAATAGATGTTGTGGCAAAGCTCGAAATTTGGAAGTCACGAATATCTAAATGAAATATTTTTTTTAACATATAATAATACCTAAAGCTATAAGAAATCAAATGCAACAATCTCCAGGCTTATTAGTGTATTAAGTAAACAATTTGAAAATGTCAATATTGTAATGAATGTTGAACTACATTTTAATAAAAAATCAAAGTTTTCTAACGACGATACAACTTTGCCAAAGGGAGGGTCGAACGAGAAGTTTTCTTCTGTTTTTCGTAAAACTCCATTATATGTTTGAAATATTGCTTCAAGTTGTAGTGCAAAACGAGCATATAGGACGACCTAATATTTCAGGCAATTTATTTTAAGTTTAGTCGAACAAAATTGAAAATAGTGAAACTCCACAATAACTCCACAAATAGTGAAACTCGAGAATCAGTCGATAGAAAGTAGAAAAATTTTCAGAGTTCGCCCTGAAAATTTCCACGGTTTCGATATTGTAATTTTAATAAATGGTAGCGCAATTGCGTGCTTTTAATAGCACGTAAAGCTTGCATAGACTGCATTTTCCTATTTTTAACGCTTGCTGAACTTCCGTACGGAGCGAACTTTCCATTCGGGATTACTTTTTCGCCACCGATGACTTTATTCTACACTTTCTATTTGCTTTTTTTCATACTTCGCTGGCTGGTTGCACTGCGATTTATCAGACACGTTTCATGCCTTTTTGATTTCGTCGCAACGCTTCACGCCAGAACATTCGCCATAAACGATTCCGCGCGACAATGGGATTCTAATCTAAGCGTGTTCGTATTTTTTTTGTTCGATTATATTCGCACAGCCTATTATGCGTGACGAGAGACAAGGACAAGAACGGATCCGGAGTGTCGGGCGGAGTGGAAGCGCCATGGCAAGTAAAGGCACGTACGACTTCTATAATGTACGAAACTCAGTTAAACTTCGTTGAGTTCGTCGCATTGTTCCGCTCGTTCAGCCTGAGAGCACGGAAGGATTTACGAGATCTATTCGGCCAACTGGCGATCACTTGTCGCAGTCAGAGCGACGGTTCCTTGAGAGACTTCAACATACGTCCACCGGTGTTGAGGCAAACCAGCGACGCGACGCCGCAAAGAATCGGTTGGTACTCTCGTTAACCCTTAACCTTCCACCTTAACCTTCCGCCATTGTGGCCCACAATGGCCCAGAAATCCAGCTGAATAGAGTTCTTTCGAAGTAACGTTGTTTACACGAGTTCCAATATCATCGGTAGTTCAAAGAATCAAAATTGGAGAGTGAAACTGATAATTGTTGACACGAAAAATCGATAACTAAGCCCCGAACAAAGGTATTGTGGGAGTATGTAAACAAATTCTTGCATTTCATAACATGGAATGTTAAATGTAAATGTATAAAATTTTCCTGAGTAGTATCAATTAACAATAAGGGATGGAATTTTAAAAATTGAACGATTATACCTTGCAGAATTCCAATTGGGTACCGCCTAGAATTTTGATTATTTCTAGAATTGAAAGAGGTATTAAAAATTTGCCCAACTCTGAATACATGATAAGGACAGAGCTTCGTTTTCTAGAAAATAAATTTAAAACGTTTACTTTTTATTTTTTTCTTGTTGCTTCATAATTTTTGTTGGGTTAATGACTGACTTATTGACTTGCTATCTTACCATCAATATTTGCAACACAAAGGGTGCACATTGAAAACTCGTGGCTGTTACATGTATTAATTAAGCAATGCTAGGATATCTTGAGTAGTAGTGGTGCTAATAGTGCCACGAAAACCTTACCATGGCTTAAATGGCACATTGGAGCTGACGGAAGAGGTGATAGGATATCCTCTAGTCCCTCCCAAGCCTCAGGGTGACAGGGTGCTCAGTCACCAGTCCCCTGATCCGGCTGATGAGATTGGATCATCCTGGTGGTGGTGGTAGCCCCATATCGTGGAGCAAGGCTAAGGTCTGAATTTCATTGCTACTGAAGTTGTGCAACATTGCGTAAATAGATGGCGAGTAACTACCACGAGCCAGTTGGCAATTTGTAAAAAAAAAATTTGGAAATTAAAACTAAACGTACGATACTATTGACAAGAATTAAAAACAATTGCTGTTTTCGTAAGGATGATATAAAAATTACCAAAATTGCTATTTCATTTTATCTCATTTATTTGTGAACTTTCTTTGTTTCTTGACTTTCAATGTTGGAACAATTTTCAGAAAATTATTTTGTAGAGTCTTATTGTCTAACCGATGGACGTCATTTAATTATTTAAAATTTTAAAAGATCAAAAGCCTTGCTTAACAAGGTGGACGAAATATAAAATATATATAAAATTAATTTAGAATTTACATTATTATTATTCTTACCCAACAGTAACTTCAACAATCGAGTTCACGTTAACTATTTACTTATACAAGTGCATATTTAAACCTGTTTGTTCAATTTAGTGTGAAATAAATAATAAATATGTTTCTTTTAAGACTCCATAACTCTCGAAGGAGGTAAAAGCTCTCATTGTCCCACGTTTGAATTCACCTCTATTTTCCAGTCGATGTTTTTGGTTAGCCCGCGCTTTCCTGCGGTTAGGATTATCATAAAGAATCCATTTCTCGTTTCCACTGACGATTTTATACAGAAAATCCTTATTCTCTCGTCGACCTATCAAAGTCAGGCACTAACCGTCGATTTTTGTTATCCGCGGTGAGCTCGCGCGAAATCCATCCACATTTCTCGTTTTTTTTTTCCTTTTCAAACAATCGAAACCGACTTTTTTATTAACCGAATTTTGTTTCAGTAACTTTGCGGACAGTAACAAATATTCCAATTTGAAACGAAACTCCGGACTGTGTGAAATTAAAAGTCCATAACTCTTCACTATACGAAATGGTTTTTCTATAATTTGATTTTAAATGTTCGAAGTGTAACAAACATTCTATATTTTTTATCTGCGCATTGAACTACACTTTCCAGGTTTTTTTAAAATCATTCGACACAAATTAAAACTTTGATAAAAGATTTTACTTTCTTTATGATTGATTATTTCAAATTTAATTGATTCTGTAAAAGGCTTCCACCATTTTTAAAATAGAATAATACATAAAAGTACTTTTGAACAGCTCTCTCAAAATTTAACGATACTCGTCAAAAGTATACAATTTTAATAGTTTTAATAGAATTAAATCAAAATTATTTCTCAAAGACTACTGTTTTTTTTACAATATATTATACTTTTAGATTCGATCCGGTTCCTGTCTTCATCTCGACCCATTCCACATACTAAAGTAGACATAGTATGAAGGGTTTAACAGTCGTGGATGATCATATGTTTGTCAACATGTATAATAACCGTTTTGTTTTCTTTTCGACGTGTTTTGACCAGGTAATACACTATATTTTGTTTTACTTCAATTCTTGATTTAAGTTATTTTTCATTAATATATTTTAAGTTACTTTTCAGATATTTTCTTCCTTGTTATACTTTTACAGATTCTTTTCTTTAATTTATCAAAACAGTAGTTTTAGAAAATCCCATAGAAACAATATCTTTCGAAATATAAAATTTTTTATGACCCTACCTATATGCTTTACATACAGAGTGAACTCAGGAATCGATTTATACAAAAACATCAGAAAAATGCATTTAAAAGAAGTATATAATTGCACTTCACTAATAAATAATAGAGATTTCCTCCACGGTTTCTTTTTTATCGTCGTTTATAAAATAACTCGGTCCTGTTAATAGAATCATTCTATATCTATATGATGGATCACAAGTAAGGAATGACCATAAAACGTCTTTTGTTCGCCTCGGCAATGTCCGATACAATTTGGGCATTCTCGAGGACATTATATGTACATAGAATAGACTGAATTGCAACTGATTCCATTCTCCTTGCGTAATTGAGGGGCAATAATTTCTGGATTTACAGTAACTGTATCCAATACGTTAATAGCATTATCCTGATTTGTGGTGCACTTACCTCCATTTCAAATGTTGCAACACTTAATTACAATTACTACTACACCACTTTAATTATAAAAATGTCGTGTGAAATTTTTATTCTATTAGAAACTTCGCTTGCTTGGTGATAATTTCTATTGCATTCTTCCAATATCAATAACATCTTCAAAACTTTATAGAAATATACTATTTTCAAAATTCTATTTCGACATTCTTTTCTAATAAATATAATCATGGCCCATTATTTCGAAGAATATAAACGATATCAATAAATATCTACGAGTTATTATTACGACTTTTCAACTATACATAGTAAGAATATTGTTTGGGTGGTTGTTATTGAATTTGAGGAAGGCTATTCAGAGATATGAACGTTTCAATTTAAAAAATGAAGCTTGCAATTACCCTACGCAATAGATTTAGGTACAGATAACGATAGTTACGTCAATTTATCGTATATTATTGTCGCCAGACAAGAAATTTCATTCTTCGTAGACTCAATAAGGTAATAGACTATGTGAGTCTTCAAATAATTATGTCAATACTTATTTAACCATTGTTAGTTTAAAATTGCGTGGGTCCGCAACGACCACCATAATCCGGATAAGGGTTAAGTGTGATTCGACCATGAAGTAGCTCTGTTGTACCGAGGCATTGTTGTCTATACCAGCATATATCCCCTCCTTCCAATTGGATTTCAACATGGTGATACTCCTACTCAACGCACCCGCACAGAGTGCGGACAACCAACATGACACTGGATTACAAGCTCCATGTATCCACACCGGTCAGTCCAAAACCTATCAAAACTTCTATTGTTTCTGCAGAACAATGAATTTTATGAACTACCATTCGTACAACAAAGTAACATTTTAATATTAGAAACAAAGAAACATGCCACGAGTTGGAGTCTTCGTGTTTCTTCCAGAAATTCAATTATCGACAATCAAACTGAACGTCTCGTAATCAGAATGTATTTGTACAAAATAATCCCATTAACATCTTTTTCCTCTCCTATTAATTTGTCAGTGTTGTTTTAACACCTTGTTGGCATGCACTGTGCAAAGTTGAGAAGTTGGCACCTGGAAAAATTCACGACCTGATTGGTTCTACAATAAATCTGTCCATATAAACCTACTTCTAGCACACATGTTCGTATTCAAATTACAAAATTAATAACCAACAACAATTTAACACATTTACTGACATGATGGTCACCGACACTTTGAACTTACATGATGCAATATTGTTTACAATAGAAAAGCCTTAATGTTTGAAAAATTGTAAATAACGTTACTTTAATTAGAAGTTCTGTAAAATAACAAGAATCCTATTGAACCCACAGTATACACTTAATTTGAACAAATGTCGAGCTAGCAAATATAATTGTATCCTATTCTAAAAACATTGTGTTTAACCAAGTAATGCTTACACATACATATATCTTATTGGAAACGATCACTTGACATGGAAACAAGTATTTTATACGTTTGCCTTCAAACGTGGACAGAATAGTAGCCACGTTTCTTTCATATTGTATTCGACAGCGCTCGATAAACTTCAATTCGTGCTCGATGACAATGTCGCACATGTCCTGCCATTAAAATCAATCCTTTGAAGGGACGTCAAGTATGTTTTGCAACAGGACGTCGAGTAGTGTAAACATACTCCACGGTGAACTAATAGTTTTTGCTAAAATTTATTTCTTTGACTTGTATACTTGAAACGAATTGTTTTAAATATAGTTAGTTAGTTATCAGGTTTTAACTCTATAATATTTTTACTATGTACTTTTGGGAATTCGAAAACTTCATTAATATTTGTCTAAAATTAATCAAAAGAAACCTTTGAACTTTATGATTGAAATATTTTAAATTGAAACATTTTACTTCGTATTACATAGTTTCATAATTTTATTTTGAGTTAAGTCGACGATGAAGGAGGTGGTTTTATAAGCTAGTTAGACTATTACTGAACAATATTAACGTTTAGTTATCGATCAACATTATTATTGAATGTTTCAATGATTCTCAAATTGCAACTTGATAAATCTTGACAGTATAGTGCAAATATAAATATGTGGCGGGAAATTGTTGAACAGGTCTGCTGACGAGGAACAACTCTATCGACTGTCACGAATATAAAACCAGCAGCAACCTTCAGAAGAAGCAGGTTTTCGACGCTGTGGCTGCCGCTAGCATCGTTAACAATTGTTCTGGCGTGGACACTTCTAAATCCCAAGTGATCACTCTGGCAACTTTTACGAAATTCTTGGAGTCGCGGCAACAAGAGAAATTAACCGACGATGAAATCAAAGCACTCGTTAAGGTACTGAAAGTTTTATAATAATATTTATTTTCCTTCCTCAAGCTCGTATGCCCCGGCACAAACATTACAAACTATTGTTCGTACTTTAACGTAATACTTTATTGATATTTCGAAAATTTCCATCTCTTCTATTTCTGTCGATTTTCTCTGTCTCAAAAATATTTTCGTCGTCGTTAGAACTAAGAGAAAAGGACAGAATAAAATTACTACAATCAAATAAAAGTTTACTATATCAATTAGCTTGCAGGCTCCTCTGAACCAAAATAATAGAAACAGATTAATTAAATTGGTTCGATACTACTGAAAATAATTAAGACTTTTATATTTTTCAACGTGAGAGATTAAACTATAAACTCGATTTTGCATGCATATGTGGTTTAACTCTATTTAACATGAATTGTGTTATATTATTTTGTAACGCATTATTATTTCAGGTCAACTTTTATAACTGTATACACTGAATATTGTAGAAATAATTGGTCGAAATCACTATATGAAACGTGCTAATGTTCACTATGGCCGGTGTAATTCTTAATAACAATTTGTTCGTTTAATAACACGCGTTTCTCCTGAAATATATTTCATCTGTGACCTATTCGAAATTAATCAATGTGAAACTCAACAGTTATAGAATGACAATTTACCAGTTAATGAGGGTCTATCTCGCCCTTTAAATTTCACTTTGAACATCGATGTTAAAATACGTATCTTTTTAGATTGTACCGTTTCAAAATATGTGTCAAGGAGGGCGAAACTGATTCCGGACACTTGGATAACGCCCTTTATAAACGAATTTTAAGAGAGAAAATTATTTCCAAGACCATATTACAAATCGGTGGAATTTTGAGGGACAAAATTATTGGTAAAACAAAAGAGGTTACGATAAATTATTGGAGGAAATTCAAATATGCCCCAGTTCCATCTTACGACGCCGAACTCGTCCATCCTCCGCTTGTAAATTAACTTTAGCCGATAATCACCGCGAATTAACGACGGCTATTATAGGAAAAATACTCACGGTTCATTACGCCTCAAATTATAATTAAAACTACTAAATAACAAAGGTTCTGGTATACTTCTCGCATATTTAAAATATCGTTCAAACGCGTTGATATATTCCTCCATACGTTGACAAGTTTATTACATTTTTATATTGAACATATTTTATCTATATATTTTGACCCATTTCACACACATAAATATTCCCGTAGTTGAGCAATAATTGACTAAAACGTAGTTCTTTCAAAGTTATACACACAGTATAGATGGACGAATCTTAAATGTATGTTACTATGTAAATACTGGAATAAATAAAATATAAACTAAGATAATATTAATTACTTTAAAACCATCTACGAATTGTGTGTTGTATTCTTTAAATGACGATCGTCATGTATCGTATGAATCAGTCACGATGTAAATAAAACACATCGTTTATAAGTAGCAACATTAATATCAAGTTTGGTAATGTGTCAATTTTGTTCCAAGTATTAGTACTTCACTAGTGTAAAAGTATTAAGAATAATTCATAAAATACGCTGTACAAAAATTGACTTTATTTTAATATTCACCACGGAAGATTCGAAAGAAATATCGAACACCACGGAAGATATTTTCAAAGAAGTATCATCACGAGAAGAATTTATCACAAATGAGGATGATCCTTTTCACGAAGCAATTAACGCCTATAATATCGTTAAAACTGCTGACAACTCCTTTGGGTATATAGCGTCAAAGTAAATTTTAAAATAAACATAAAAGGCAGCATAAATTAAAATAGTTGTTACGTTCATCGAATAGGGGATGAAATGCCCTTTAAAATGAGTGGTCGTACAAGTCGATAGCGTAATTAGTTCCGGAGATATAAAGGTTCGAAGCGTTTGTTTACTTCGCGAGGTCAATGAACTTCCTTAATACAGCCTTGTCAAGGTCGTTGACCGCACGTGATTCGCGCTCTACGTTACTCGGTCACTCGTTTAGTGGGTCAACGTGAGACAAGGAGGTCCGACGCGTCAGACGGAGACAGAGATAGTAGAAACTAAAAAATTACACTTTCCTTTACACGACGATATCTCAAAAACGAAACATCGAATCGATATAAAACAAAAAGCACTTTAAAGGGGAAGCTTTACTGCTTCTAACAGTGGCTCAGTTATAGAGAAAACACACGAAACAAGACATGAAACAAAAATCATTTTAAAGGGGAAGCTTTGCCGCTTCTAACGTTGGCTCTCGCGCTTTCGTAATTCATAACACCCTCGTTTGTACAGAAAGAACTTATCTCATTCGTTCGAGTTATCTTTTATAACAATGCCATTAATTACTAAGACACACGAGGTATTCGGTAGTGTCTGTCAGTGATGAATTATTGTAACGAATTTATGTCATTGTATTGCAATACACATACGAAGATATAGCGGGATAACACAATCAACCAGGACGATTTGCTCTGATTCCAGCGACACGAACCGGACCCAGTACTACGTACACAATGGTGTTTGTCTTTCGAGGGCTTTGCGAGGTACATGATGGACAAGGACAATTATGCTTTCCCAAACGAGTATGCGACGCCGTCCGAGACTGAAATGCAACAGTCATTGTCCCAGTATTACATCGCTAGCTCGCATAACACCTATTTAACCGGCCATCAACTGAAAGGAGAATCTTCGGTGCAGCTTTATTCCCAAGTAAGAACTTTTCTTCGTTTAATAATTAGTTTCAACAATCTTCGTATATTTCTCAATATTTTTCCTAACATCGTTCATTAATTTTCTGAATTCAGATATTTAAGTTTACAAAGAACTTCTTTAAGAAATATTTGAATACAAACAACGTTAAAGACTAATTAAATAGAAATCTAAACAATGTTTGCTTGGGCTACGTCACTTATATTATTGAATAAACCAAATACAATGTTTTCACAATTAACTCGAAAATAATACTTTTTTAAACTTAGAAAAGAAAATGGATATAAATTAATAATATAACTTGTCATAGTGTAAACTTAATATTGTTCATAGCAAAGACTCGGTTTAACTACGATGAATACGTGTACCACGTGTAACATTTCTAATTTTGAACGTTGCCTTTAAGTTAAAAATGTGAAAAATACTGCAAATGGTAAATGAATCGACTTGTCAGAAATATTGTTAATGCAATGGTTTTTATAGTACCTCCATTGTACGTAAAATACTTCATATGACAATAAGTTCGTGTTCTAGGTATTGCAAACAGGATGTAGGTGCGTGGAACTCGATTGTTGGGATGGCGATGATGGGTCTCCTGTCATTTACCATGGACACACCTTCACTACCAAGATACCATTTCGATCAGTGGTAGAAGCGATTGATAGAAGTGCTTTCGTCAGTTCTCCTTATCCTGTGATTCTCTCCATCGAGAATCATTGTTCCCAGAGTCAACAGACTCGAATGGCTCAAATCTTTCAAGTATGTTCTTGTTAATTGTGTGTTTGAACATTTAATTACATGCATTCTGTCACAAAAATCGCTTATAATCTCCTTCACATCATCTCGTTATTAGTGACAAACTGTATTTATTTTGTTATTAAGTCGAGGGAAAATTTTAAAACTATTCCAAATTTCGATTGTCACTGATTACGATTACTGCAGTATTTTTAGGTGAAAAAGAAAAGAAACTCATTTCACTCTCTTAAAAACGTGAGAAACTCTTAGAATGCTTTACTATTATATTCTTTATTTCACAAAAACAATTACAAAATTAAGAATACTCAGTGAAACTTTTGTTCCATAAATTCTTCTCTATTCCAAATTGGAAAAGTTTCTTATTGAAATCGCAATTTCCAGATTCAGTGAATAAATTTCCGTGCCGTCGTACAATTTAATATTTCTCCCAATTCTGTTTTCACGCACTCGAAACATTTTACAAACTTACTTCATTCATAACGTGCCCGGACAGACACTTGTCCGGATAATGTCTAACTAATAACATTTTATTTGCGGGTTATGAATAAAGTTTTGCGAAAATAAAAGTTCATCCGGATGGAAATTGATCCAAATAAAAGTTTATTCTAATAAAAGTTTTGTCAGGACGTTTCAAAGGCTGGATTTACGATACGGATGCTTGGAACGTGTTAATTTTCAGAAACATCTGCCAGGAATATTCATGCTTCAGTCAACTAATTAACCGTTTAAGTGCCAAGCAGAGCAATCGCGCTTTTACCGTTCGGTATTATAAAGCACCAGCGGTTGCCGCAATACGACCACTGTTGATACGTTACAATTTTAATAAATAAATACTAGTTTCTGTTTCTGTTTCGAATAAACTAAACTGTGCAACCGTTTTACACAAACCATCCTCCCACGCTATTTAATTCATTGACTGCCGTATGAATCACAGAATATGTCCACCCAGAATAATTTCTAAAACATACGTTGAACAAAACAGTATTTCATATAAGAATTATACGATATTAAAGAGAACTTACTATACATTGACAAAATAAAATTTTAAAATGGTTTATTTAAAGGAGAGTCTTTTGTATAATTCCTTTATTTATTTCTTTTCTGTTTTTTGTTGTTCTAACTTGATATAGTTTTCTTTTTTTACAAATATACAGAGTGAATTACGTAATCTGTCCATCTCTAATAATTTTTAAAATATACGTTCTACAAAAAAGTATTTTATATAACAATTTTAATAAAGAGAATTTACTATAGGATATATTAACAAAATAAATTTAAAAATAAAATTAAATAATGATAAAGCACAGAGTTTTTTGTATAGTTCCTTTGTTTGTTTCTCTTTTCTTTTTTGTTGTACTAAATTGATATAATTTTCTTTTCTTAATGAAAACTAAAACTTAATACTTGTAGAAAATTCATTGTTTCTTTAAATTTTGATACAAAATGGTACGTGTTTAATTTTTAAAAATTCAAAATTTTGAAAATTAAAGACGGATTTAAAGAAAATAATTTGAATTTTATCTACGAAGTGATGACTGTTATGGACAATGGAAAATTATATGTTCAGCGACATTGCAGATACGTTACTAATACTGGTAGAATTTAGGCAAAATTATCTCGCAGCGGTACGATTATACCATGGAAGATACCTAAATCGATGACACCCGAATTGCGGGGTGATTCGGGATTCTGTGACTCATGCTCAACAAGGACATTTATAATGACACCACAACACACGTTTCGAGAATATTCAGCCGGAATATATTCCATCCTTACCGCGTCGCTTTGCAGCAGGCATTAAATGATGCAAAAGTGATCAGCATAAAATAGTTATTTCCAAAGAGAATACGACTTATTTACTGAGGAAGTTAATTTTAATAACAGAGGACGAGTAAATAAATAATAATACACGCTAACGTCTGTCAATATATTACTATACTTTATTGACATAAGGATTTTCTCCAACAAATGCTGCTTGCATTTTTTATTCTAGTATTGTGGTTTCAATATAATGCTGAATTAGCTTACAATGATCATAGAGTTCAGGTAAAGTCTCTAAATTTCTACATATAGAGCTATTTGAAAAATAAAGCTCACACAAAAGAGACCAATCGTTTCCTTTTAAATGTAAAAACTTGTAACTCTGACAAAAATTCATTTTATGGGAAACGATTTATTTAACGACTAATTACAGCGAAAATAATTTTTAATAGTCAATTACTTCACCGTTACGGTGAATTGGTATTTTCTTTTTTATGTTATTAATGAGTGTTTTTGTTAGATTTATTTAGTTTACCATCATTGTTTTTAGTTGTCAATATATTTTGTCATTTTGACAAATGTAATTGTCAGCCATTCCCCATAAATTTTCAATACGATTAGCTGTTTGAATATTCTGATCCATAAGCCATGTTTGTGCATTTCTATTGGAATCGATGAGAGCATTATCTACTTAGTTGCAGTTTGAATACCAATGTATTATAGTCTTGCATATAATATGACTTCAATAATATGTACCTCGTGATAGTACTAACTATACATTGTGGTTGAAATGAATACAATTGCAAACTTTCCATATGCATTGAAGCTCGCCATCACATTGTATTCAACAATATTGTACGCTGAACATCATTTTTTATTTTCGTATTTCGTGCCTGAGACACCCTGTATCTAGTACACATATGTACATACCACAAAGGCACAAATAATTTTATGTTCTCATAAAGAATAAATATTCGTTCAGGTACATTGTTTTGATAAAATTCGAATAAACTTTTATTCGGTAAAATTCTATGGAAACACTGTAAATCACGAGTAACGATTATATAAATTATTCATGTAATAAGTAGATAAAGATTTATTTGAAATTAAAAAATGTATTATAATTAACGCTTGACTGCCAAAGAATTCTAATAATTACAATTTTTCGACAAAATTATTGTCGTTAGGAATAATATCAAATTACGAGTGCACCATCGAACTAATAAATATTTTTATTTTTCAAAAATTCAATAAATGCGAAATGCGCCTTTAAATATGAAAAATAGACATGATAGTTAAGGCGTTGAATAAATTTTTTAGAAAGAAATTAAGATAGATATATCGATGCTGTTTCAGTCGGTGTTCGGAGAGAAACTCGTAACAAAATTTCTGTTCGAAACCGATTTCGGCGACGATCCTCAGCTGCCGTCGCCATCGCAGTTGCGCTATCGAATATTGATCAAAAACAAGAAATTGGTGATGGATCCCACCGGTCCTCTGGTACACGCTCCCTTGTGTCACCGTGGAAAAATGCTTATGTCCGATCGTGCATCATCAATGAAACAGATGCGTACTGACGTAAACACTGCTTCCGTCGTTGAATATTTCAGCGAGGACGATGACGACGAGGAAGACGACGACGAGGATGATAATATCGATGGTAATTCTTGCATCTTCTTTATTACGAGCCCGCGTAACTATAAATATCCTGTTTTATTAACGAACACAAAATCCAATCGTTTCTACGTCCTTTCTTAGATTCTCCCTGACGTTTAATTAACTTTATCATTCCAGCTCGATCCAAATTTAAAGCCCAGTAAACCAGAAATGTTTGGAACACTGTTTTCACAAACTTCTCGTTTCAGTAAAAACTACATTTTAAAGACGCTCAAAGAAATGAAAATCATTTTTTAGGCGGAATATCGATTTCTAAATTTGTCTTGCTCGTTAAAATTTAATCTTCGATGTTAGTAAAAATATGTTACATGGATTTTATTTGTATTCCCCCGAATAACACAGAGAAAACCAACTTATTAATCTTCGTTATTTCCCAATATACGTATGTCAAGTGACGATCATGGAGCGAGTAGCGTTTATTTCTGTCATTTCTATGACATTCTTCAATTTTTGCTTTATTCAATTTCCAATGGAATATCATCAGCTTTGAACTCTGAAACTTTTGAACTTGTTGGGATAGGTTGTTGTAGGAAAACACTTTTTGTGGGGTGACAAGACTTTCTTTATTTTTCCGTTGTTTTCGGTTAGAGCGCGCAAAACCAAGTGTAGTTATTCTTCGCTCGTCTCCATGTCGACCCCTCGGTCGCACTGGCAAAATTGTTAAACAACCCTGATTGGTTAACCCCACGCGTTGGGCCTTTCCAATCAGGGCCGTTTATTTTTCCCAAATCACCGCCTATTTCTTACGCCCACGGCGTGCTTGTTTTCGAAACGGCGTGGTGATTGAGGGGGACGACGTTGCGCCCTCACTGCAAGATTTCCTTCGGACCACCCGCGCTGGGCCCACTTGGCGAAACTCCGATGGGTACGCGTCGAGTGTCCTCTGGAAATCCCTAATTTACGACGATCTCTATTTGCTGTTGAGGGACTTAGAAAAAGAATTTACTAAACGCATTCGATACGCGAGTCTGGAAAATATCTTCCTCAAAAACAGCTTCGACGAACGAGAGTCGTAAATTACGTGGGCTGTTTGCACGAGAGAAAAACTTTCCCATGTGCGCACGACCGGTCGCTACAAACTTTTCGTGATAATATAATCTTCTCAAATTATTCAATATGTTTCCTGCCATTTGCGTAACAGCGTTGTTCGAACGGAATTCTGGTCATTCCATCATTTCAAAATTCATTATAAATATACCGAATCTTCATTACACGAAATAGAGAATGTTAAAACACTAATAACACTTCTAATCTCCATCATTATTAACGATATAGCCTGAAATCGTTTCGACACATTTTTCAAAGTTTTTTTTTAAAAACACATTTTTCAACAAATTTTTTTATTTTTTTTTGTATAATAGTTTTAAAAATTCCATTATATTTGTGAAATTTGACACGTTAAAATATTTGTTTTATATATTAAATATTAATTTATATCGACTCGATGTCAGACGATGAATACTCTGTTTTCATACGTGGCAGACCCAGCTTTGATAGTTTGGATCGTTATCCTCTTAAAATATCCAATCTGTATATTCTGGGCAAAACCATATTTCCATAGAGTTTAACAGACCTCTTTCACAAGATTTAATCATTCGTGGTGTAGTTGAAATACCAGCAAACCACACGCAAAGTGCTGAAATCGGTGGAATTGAAACAACCCCAAACGCGAACCTCGTTAGGTGCTTAACGGTTCGCTGGATCATTGCCTTTTTGCAAGAGGACCAAGATTTCCGCATAGAAAGTCCCAAAAAGAGGACTGAACCGTGAAAACGACACCACTCGAGTCACGATCGATATTTGAACCCTTGTCATTCCTTTTTCCACGTACCCTCTTGACAGCAACGATTTTATTAAAGCACTCCGCCGGGAGCATTTGTCGGTAAACTTAGACGTCCTTTAAACGCCGTTTTATGATCACTATAATAAGATGAGCATTCTATTCCACCAGTAGAACCCATCCATTAAACTTAATCCAGATTTGATCGATCCTTTATCACTTTAAACATACTTTAATGTGGTAGGTCATCGATTTCTCGACAAATGAAAAATGTCGAAAAGTCAAGATGATTAATTATGAAAGCACCGGATTTATTTGCAGACTTAATAGTAATAGTAATATTAGAAATAATATGTAGAGTTGAAGACTGTATAACTGAAAAGGTTATAATTTAAATTGCGTTTATTTATTTGTCAATTTGGTTTCTTTCGTCATAAATAAAATTCGAACTGATTTGTGGTGCATATTATGTATACCGCCGTAACGATAACAGTGAGCGCAAAGGGCTAAACCTGTCCACGTGCTAAAATCCACAAGAGCCTGGCAAAATCCGTCCTATGGGATTGTCGAGTAGGGAGAGCGAATATCCTTTATACAAATTCGCCTACAACTGTCACTCAAATGCTCGTACACGCGTCCCTGTGATTATTATTCGTGAGTCAGCTGACGTCCGGGTACTAGTACTCGCATAAGTCCCTCATTCTCGACGCCGTATATGCGTATTTTCAACAATTAATAACTTGAATACGAACCTTCAACCGAATTTTGTTATTCTTAATTTTCGTATTATTTTCACTCATAAAATCAATTAAAATTTCACGTATATTTTCTCAAAAACCAATAGATATCGACATTGTTTTTTGTTTATTTCATTCTGAAAAAATTATTTTTGGTTGTGAGGGTAAATTACAATTATTTTTGGTTAATAGACATAACCCCGAATTCCTACCCACTTCCGAGAAAAAAATTCCTTACCGAAAATATAATGTCTGACCATACATGATATTTTTCCCCGAAATTTCATGCATATCTTTAAAAGATTGTAACTTCTGGACGGATTGGAGGATTTTAATGTTACAAAATGCAAACTACTCGTATTTTGGTGAAGAATGTGTAGAAATTCTAAAATTATTCGGAATGTTGTTCCATGACACCTTAAAGTGAGAAAAACCCCATAAAAGTGGCCCAATTTTCAAACAGCCATAACTTCTACAATAGTGAATATATTTCAATGAAACTTTTCTCTGAAGTAGAGCTCATGGATACCTACAAAAAGTATTAGACAACTTTTTTGTAGAACGTCAAACAAAATTGTTAAAAATGAAAAACGAATTTTTAAGAAAAATCGACAGAGGGTAGGTGCCTTTCGGCGAAAAAAAAATTTCAAATCGTTCTGGAAAAATTATTTTCGATTGCAGGGATCAATTACAATCATTTTTGGTCAATAGACATACTCTCGAAATTCTAACCATTTTCGAGAACAAAATTCTTTACTGAAAGTATAATGTCTGACCATGAATGATGATTCCACTGAAATTCGGCGAAATTGAAAAGTTTCAAATGATTCTAAAAAAATTATATCTGGTTGCGGGGGTCAATTACATTCATTTTTGGTGAATAGACATACCCCCGAAATCCTACACATTTTCGAGAAAAAAATTCCTTCTTGAAAATATAATGTCTGACTAAGAATTTTCTACTGAAATTTCATGCGTATATTTAATGCATCATAATTTATGAGCGGAAAAAATACATTGGATGTAAGGCCTACTAGTATACCTCGTCCGTGCTATTACTAGCAATGGACAGAGTATAATATAGTTGTAGGTCGTATGATAGCCATAATAAATTATAATAGAAATGGAAGCAATACTATATTTAATAAGTATTTAGTTTTAAAGGAAATTCTTCGAATGAAGATTATGTAACTTTCAACATTTATTCAAATGATCGATTAAGTACTCGGTTACGAGAAATTTTGTAAGCTTTTTACGACCGATTCCTCAAGTTTAAGTTTGCTTATTATTAACTCCAATCTGTCCTCAATCTTATTGCGATCTCGTTCTGATCTTGTATCGACTTCGTAGACATGCAATTCAGAAAGATACGATGTAAATAGAAAACTTTAATCAACATCCATCGTAAACTTAGGGAACATCGAAGTCGTTGTTTTTAAATGTTTTCGAGCCATGGCTTAACTTTAATACGCAGACTAAAAAGGTTTCCCGTTATTTCATCCGTTTTAATTACTTCTTATCGTTCGATTAATTGCCGCTGAACGGTGTATTGTGTTCCATAAAAGCGCTATGAAATTGTTCTTTACATACAATGATGCAAAAATGAGTCGAAAATCAAGATTAACGAAATTGCGTTTGGGACTTTATATTCGAGATAGATATTTTATGAAAATACAAATTGAAGAAAATAATCATAATTATAATCATAAATCGTTAGATCTTGTGAAGGTATATTTGATGCCTCATTAACCTCAATCTAAACAATCTTAATGTAACGAATGAAATAAATTTACAATGTATACCTTCTTTTCTTCCAATTTTGAAACATTTCCACAAGATATCGATTCTAAGGTAACGATTCTTTGTACAATAATTTGTTCAATTAACGTCGATACGACTGGTTGAACGATAATTGTGTGTACAACCTGACGATGTGGTCGTGTCGAATGACAGTGCAGTGCTGCCATACGACTATCATTGCAACTGGAGACACGACTCATTGTAGAATAAATCGTTACGTCTGTGGCCTCTATTATGCAAATATATGCAAACACTATGCGCTCGTTGTCGCTGATTCATTTTCTCTACCCGTCGAAATAGATCAATTTAGACTAGCCGTATACATTTCCAATTAAATCGATTTACTAAACCACTAGCAAGGATCAATTATTATATTAATATTTCCTGACCTACGATAATATATCGTCTCCCTAAACGAACTAAAAACGAATCGAATATATAATTTTGACTCAGCGGCGTAATTTAAAACATTTTACATTTCACAAAGATACGATATCGAATCCTCGAGCAGGGTTTCCCCAAATTAAAAAAATTACGCTAAATTAGACGACTGAGAATTGCTTCTCGATCGCAGAGTCTTCATAATTTTCTCGATACGTGTCCCCCTTATATCGCGTTATAACTTGGTTCCATCGGTGGAATCCAGCAAATGGATTCGAGACCGTCGAATGCAGGAAGTTTTGTAATTACTTAATTGACGACGAAGTTAACGCGAAACTTTTACCTTTCAGATAATTCGATCTCCAGCTACGAAAGGTACTTGGGCGGAATGCAGGTGCCGCACGGTCGATTAAAGTCGGATTCTGCGGTCGACGACAAGTCGCAGAAGCAAAGCAGTCAGATCGCCAAGGAACTATCGGACTTGGTGATATACTTGCAAGCCATTAAATTCCGTGGATTAAATACAACGCCGGGTACTACGGCCACTGGAAAGGCCCGTCATCAGCCTCACACGGGCCCCGTTCAGAGGCATAGTATCGCTGGAATAGGAACCACCACCATACCTGGCACTTCCGGTTCGCCACAGTCTCTGTCAACATCAGCTTCGCTCGCCAGCGGTGGCAGCAACATTGACAATCTCTTTAGGTTCGTTCTGTAGAATAATATTAGCAAATATAGAATTCAGAGGCCAAATATTTCGTTAAAAAGTGAACCAGAAGTTTGGAAGTCCCTTTATAGTTCTTGGAATTTTTAATTTTATCAAGAAAAAATATGTGATTCCATTTAAAAAAATTAGCTTGACCTCGAAATCTACTCCACCACTCCACCTATACAAAAATTTAAATAAAACAACTTTTGTAAGAACATTTTTTGATACCTTCAATACCTTATGAGATCCACCATTCACACTTAAACGTAACACCCTCTATATGTTAAATTATATGTACTATCTATGTCGTTGTCATAATAATGTCAATTATATTACACGATTAGCAGAAGCGATTTTTAAATGTTCGATGAAGTTCTAAATATAATATTTAAGAAATATTGTATCTTTCTTTGATCAGAAAATAACTTAAATAAATGGGTGTTTTTAGATTTCAATCGCCGAATACTGTCAGAATATACAAGAATCGATCGAACATTTTTGGTTTGGCGAATTGTATGAAATAGGAAGATAGTGCTAATGAAGTTTGTTAAATATTTCAGAACCAATCGCGGTGTGCCTGCTTGCTTTCAATGCTCCTCGTTGAACGAGAGCACAGCCAAGAAGATCTGCAGAAAGCAGCCTTTGGGCGTTGTTGCTCACGCCGAAACCCAGTTAATTCGAACATACCCGGCTGGAATGCGTATTGACTCCACAAACTTCAATCCCGTGATATTCTGGGCCGTTGGTATTCAAATGGTAGCGCTAAATTACCAAACCGACGATGCCGGATTGAATTTGAACGCCGCAATGTTCGAACAAAATGGACAGTGCGGATACGTCAGGAAACCTTCAGTAATGTGGGACAAAGGTCACATGATGTACAGGTACTGGCAAGAATATCTTCATATTAAAATAAAAATCCTTCTCATTCAATATCATTGTGGGCTAAGTAGTCCCTGAATTTTATAAAACCATTATTTTTTACTCTATTATTTCTGTTATTATTTTATCCAATTTATTGTAATGTTAAACTTGCTCAATCTAATCTTTTAAACTGTTTGTTTTTGCAGCTTGAACATTTAGCTATCCCCAACGTTCAGAATAATTTTAATTCCTGTTACATAGTACTTTTCATTTATGCAATTAAGATTAACTCTCTATAATCCAAATTATGTTTCACTTCTGAACACAATTCTCGATGTTTCTATTGTCTCAAAGAATAATTACAGTGGGAGTGGAAAGCATTCGTACAGCGATTAATTGCGACTAAAATGCTGAATAATAATGTTTATTGAACAATATTTGTTCAGTAAGCATGTTACATGTATTCTCCAAAGTCTACAGAACAACAATATCAAATAAATAAACATTATTATTCAGCATTTTAGTCGTAATTTGTCACTGTATGTATTTTGAATTCTTTCGTTGTCAGACCACTCTAGTGTGAAACATTTATAATGACTTCAGAATCACGTTGACTTATAGAGGGTTAAATTAATCTCCCAGTAAATTATTTACCACGATCCTGTTCGGAGTTACTTGTGCCTACCGCGCCAAGATACACTCAAATATCTTTTGCAAAAACGTGAAACTCTATTTTAGACGTTTCAATCCCTGGGACAAGGAATTCGACGGACTGCACTCGGCTCACTTGACACTCTCGATAGTATCCGGCCAATATGTTTCCCCGACGAATTTCGTGGCCAGCACCTACGTGGAGGTCGAGCTGGTCGGGATTCCGATAGATTGTGCCAAGCATAAAACAAAAGTGATACAGAGCAACGCCCTGAATCCGATCTGGAACGAGAAATTCTGCTTCCAAGTGATGTTCAAAGACCTCGCCTTCCTGCGTTTCGGTATCGTCGAGGCGAATTCCCACCACCTGATCGCCCAAAGAGTGATACCTCTGAAATGCTTGAGACCCGGTTACAGGCACGTCCGTTTGCGTTCATGCAAAAACAAACCCTTGGCCTTGTCGACGCTCTTCATCTATTCCCGTCTGGAGGAGGAGAGCCTGGACTACAACACTTGCTGTCGCGACCACAAGGAATCGTCAAAGCGTCCATTGTCGGGAAAAGAACCCGAGAAACTGACCACCGTGGACCCTGGACTGGGCGGGGTGACGTTGAAACGAAGAATGTTCTTCCTGATGGTCTACCACGTGGTGCCCAACGAGCCCTACACCATCTTAAAAGTGACTCAAGAAAGCACCACGCAAGAGGTGATGCTCCAAGCCCTCCAGAAGGCTGGCATATCGGCGGATCGCGTCGACGAGTACATCCTCGTCGAGGAGGTATCCCGCGGTTGGGAGAAAAGGGACAGAGAAGAGCTGCCCACGCAACGGGTGTTGGACCCGACGGAGCATCCGTTGCAGGCTCAAGCACTGTGGAAGGGACAGGGTCGCTTCCTGTTGAAGAGGGTGGGCGACGATCCCAGCAGTAGAGCCTGGTTGGCGTCCATCAGAAGCACGGCGGGCCACTCGAAGCTCGACTCCGACAGAGACACGTCCACCCACATATGGGACGAGGCCGACACTTTCCTGGTTTGCATCTACAACGTCTCGCCTGATATACCCTACGCGATACTCCGTGTTCCCGTGAGCAGCTCCGCCCAGGACGTGCTAGCCCAGGCACTGGTAAAGGCCAGGAGGATGGAGAATCCGATGAAGTTCGCGTTGGTCGAGGAGCTCGAGTGGGGCGGGACCGGGGCCGTAGGTAGCGGGAATCGTCAGCTGAGAGTGTTGCGCGACGATGAGAACGTCTACAGCACCCAAGCGTTCTGGAAGACGCTGGGTAGATTCATTTTACGGGAACGTGAGCAAGCGATACCGAGGCGACACCTGCTGCCGGCCACGCTGGACAGACTCAGTAAGGGCTTTTCTGTTGGGAGATCGGTTTCCTTGCCAGGTTCTAGCAAGGAGAAGGTGCCTGTTTCAGAAGCGCTTTCCGATCCAACTTCCAGAGGCCTCAGACACCGTCTGCTTATGTCCGGCCGCAGGAGGGAGGTACACTCGGACGGCGAAGACACCCGTGAGTCCGACATTCTGAACGCGGCCCTTCACTTGAAGAAAGTGTCGTTGAGGAAGCTAAGGGTGTGGAAGTCATAGTGGCAGTCACGGGCGACGTCGATATCATCGATCTTCGCCGCTCGGAGAAACGACTCGTAAGTTACGATAGATCATTGCGTTCGGGGCGTAGGGAATCTAACGTTCAGCTTCAACAATCAGCGACCCGGGAACACCGTGACGCAACCAAAGATATACGAAACAGACGCCTAATTGTATGCGACCGCTATTCGAGCACGCACGATCCGAGGTCTTCGCATCATCGCTTGGAAACAAAACCGGTATTAATGAGAATAGTATGATTGGGACGGAGTTTGATTGGACGTAATGTCGTTGTAACGCGTATCTGGAATTTGGACAGCTTCGACGGTGCAAACGCCAGCAAAATACCAAATTATGTTCAAGTATCGATAGCATTGAATTTATTTTGGATCGTTTCGATTGCTAAATTTATGTGTAAATGTCGTTAACGAGCGAGGTTTTTATAATAGTGTCTTTCACAGTCTCGAGTTTCACGAATCGTCCACCCCGTTTTTCTAGTCATGTTAATATTGTAACAACGTACAAATTGTGATCCTCGACGAGGATCCACCCAGAGACTTTCAAAAGAGTACGCAAGAAATATTTTTAAAAGTTCGGTTCGATCGATCGGTTCGTTTGGTTGTAGATTACCGCAAACCTGTTTTCCATATTTTTCTATACACGTGTACATATTTTTAATCTAAACTATATATTTTAATACATGTATATATTTATATTTAATGGATACACTGTATTAAACGACCCTGTGAAGAAACTTCACGGCACAGATTAAGAATAACTAGTCAATTCGTTTTAATTTGAAAAAAAAAAATGAAGCCAAACATCAAACTCCGATATCGATGTAACTTACACCGGGACCTGATTCTTTTTTATAAACATTTACTTGACCCTCAAGTTATTAACGCTTGCACTTTGAGTACCTGACTTGTCTCTAAAAGTTCTCCTTTATTCGCGACAACGTTCGAGTAGTATCTTTGTAAACGCATAATCGACACGCATTTTATTCTTTTGGAGAGACACTTGTTTAAAGAAAAAATTAAAGGGAACGAAATCGTCTTTACGAATCACTCCAAAATTACAAGTATCGATCATTTTTTCGACCCAACTCTCGTTTCGTTGCTAGCAATCGATAAAAGACTTCACTTGACGACAATAACAATTATCTTTTCTATAAAGTGTACAACGCTGGTAGCTAATTTTAAACCTACTGGCCAACTCTTCACCCATCAAAACGTACTTCGATTTCTCAACGTTCTCTTACGAAACTGCACCAGTTTTGTTTTACTTCGTCCCCGTAATAGGCGTAATAGATATTAATAAGACTATCTCTATCTAAATTTTACAATCTCGATTTTCTTAAATTCTAATGAAATTCGTTATTAAACTTTGATTACCGATTGATCGTCTCGCTTCCCGTGGGAAATGAGAGTCAGGAAAACTACAGCGACGGCACGGAGCGAAATAAAGCGAGACCGAACTATAATTTTAAAAATGGCAAAATGAAGACGTCTAGTCAAGCTCTATCATCGATGTATGTTTAGAGACAACCGAGCACGATGTATTTAAATTATTTTATAGATGCGATGCTTCTAGGTGTGACTCGTAACGCAAATTAAAACGACTGCATTCTAAACCTAAGAGGTTCACATCGTAGGGCAAAATTCTCGGAATCGCGACGTAGTACGTGAGCCTGTGACTTTGTTGCCGCGAGTCTTCGATTAAAAATAAAGAAATATCCAAAGAAAGGAACAGTATTATTCGCGTGTAACGTATAGCCACGACGATTGCGTGAATTTCGTTCGACGCAACAATCGTACTATTTAGTCCACGTGCGTGTGTGTACGGTTTCTCGTTCGTTCACTGACGCACCGCTGCACACGGACCACAATTCCAGTGTGCTGGTTGGCATCGGTGATTAGGAGCCCCGGGCAAAACCGTAGGTCCCCGGCCAATAGCATAGTCGACGCCGGTTAACGCCAATAAACAGCAAACAACGTACACTCGTACGTTCGGTGATTGGTTTATTACTGATTTGCTAAGAGAATGCAGTGCGGGCAATATTTGTACATAATTACATTATCTTTTCCGTCGTTGTATCTAATCGATACGATCGGGTAACATATACGCGCGTGGAGAACATGCTACTTGCGAGGGGAGTACGTGATCACGTTCGAGACGCACCGATTTGGCTCAAATTTTATAAATAAATCTATAAATAAATAAATAAATTTTATAAATAAAAAAGTCGATTTTAAAGTTTTGTATTTTTCGGATACGTTTTTTCTAATTGTTGTTACATAATCATTTGTGTTAGGTATTTCTTATATTTGATTCAACCTGTATTGGTCCTATTTAGTACAGACTTGTGCTTATGTATTATAAATTGGAGCTGCTTTATGGTAACATAATGCCATAGTTTTATTTAGGTAATGTAAATAAATACGTTTATCATTGGAAAGTAGAAAAATTGAACGTAACGATACTTTCGAGTTCGTTTGCAATGGTTACATGTGATTTACAAATATATTTGTTATAATGCTTTGAATTATTATCTATCTATATTATAATAAAATAGTTTAATATTGTCTGTTATTATTACAAGTATATAGTATATACTGGATATAACACGCATTAGAACATATACCAAAGATCAATTAAAACATAAGTAACTGAGATTAATTTCGAGGTTTGACTAATAACAATTGCACATATCCTATCATATATACAGGGTGTTTGGCCAACCCTGCGAAAAATTTTAATGGGAGATTCTAGAGATCAAAATAAGACGAAAATTAAGAATATCAATTTGTGGATTGAGGCTTCGTTAAAAAGTTATTAAGAAATTAAATTAAAAAATTTCAAATCCTTCACGAAAAAAATTATTTTCGGCAGCAGGAGTCAATTACAATAATTTTTTATGAATAGACACACCCACGGAATCCTACCTATTTTCTAGAAAAAAATTCGAGAAGGTATGAAATTTTTCGACAAAATTAAAAAATTTCAAATCGTTCTGGAAAAATTGTTTTCGGTTGCGAGGGTTAATTACAATAATTTTTGGTAAATAGACCTACCCTCGAAATCCTGCGCATTTTCTAGAAAAAAAGTCAGTATGGACGGAACTTTAAATGTTAATAACTTTTTAACGAAGCCTCCATCAATAAATTAGTATTCTTGATTTTCATCTTATTTTGGCCTCTAGAAGCTCCCATTAAAATTTTTCCCATGGTTGGCCGAACACCCTACATACTTCTGACGCAATAAGGACGTATTAAATATCATTATTTAAGCAAGCAAATCACGAAAATTAGAAAAAAATACAGCCAAGATTCGTTGAACAACAATGGGTCGAAACTTTAATTTCGACTTTCTCGTCAAATTTTGGTGCATCTCATGCGTTCAATTCACTATTATACAAGGTATCTTTCAAGGCAGTAAACATTTCCAGTTTGGCAGATCCATTTCGAATAAAAGATTTTGGAACAGAATTATCTTGCATCTCCCACACTTGACAAAAATATGCATAATTTTCAATTCAGAACGACCCTGCCAATCGAAGATTTACAAATTGCCTCGCGATGTACTCTGTACGAAGTGTTGGAAAATGGAGCCAGGTCGGTGACTCGAACTCGTCGCGTGTTCCATATACTTAGGCGTATTAATTATTGTTGATACTGAGAGGGAGAGAAAAAAGTAGATCAATGTTACTTTTACGATCGTTGCCCATGCCCCTGGACTGTTAAACGAGGATACTTGTAGATTGTAAATACGAGACCAAGGAGCGTCGGTTCGTTCTTTCACTTTAAAACATCATGATCGCTCGAAGTACAGTGCACCACTCGGTTTCGATATTTTCATCGAAATCTTCCGCCTAATTTTCACGATATTAACGCACGTATAGGTGCGAATATCGACGTAGAGGGTAATACGAAAATCTATCTACCGCGGGCCAGAGACGCCACGAACACGTTGCCTTTCGTCTTCCATACGCTAGTGTACACTCTATCGTATTTATATTGTTTCAACGAACCTCGACTGACATTTTCGGATTACTTGTACGCGATTCTACGCCGAACCGAGCACATTTTAATTCTAGAAACGGCAAATATTGAACAACTCGAGCCCCAACGCTCGATACAATTAGTAATTTTATCGACTTTCGCTGTTAAAAAAATTAACGAATACCACGGAAGAGAAGAACGATAATTTTCTGCCGTTTCTGGAATTAAGCGACATTGAGCGACGTAGAAAAAATAATTTCTTTAAAGATCGTGGCGCCGCTGAGCACCCTTATATTTTTCGACACCACTTCCTTCGCGTATCTTCTTCCCATTTTTTCGAACGTACGGACGTATCCCGAAACAAATCCAGCTAAACCGAGCACATCGATACGTCGAATTTTTAACAATCAAGTTTGCTCGATTGCTAAATATGAAATTAACAGCGAACGAAACTCGTAGAAGAAAAAAAATCGAATTTAGTAATTTTAGCGCAGTGGATAAAAACGATTTATTTTGACGTTAGAGCAACAGGTTTTTAAAATTAATCTAACAAAACGAGTAATATACGAAATTCTTCTATTTTATTAAGCCCACAATTGGTACAACCGTCTTCTCATAAATCCCTTCTAGACTCGTAATTTGAAATTTGTAAACATTTAGATAACTCTGATGCCAGAATTTTACATAATCCTCTGTATCTTACGATAACAGCTAAAACCACGATTAGGAATAGAAAGCATACAATTTCTTTAAAATTTCTTGAGCAGTGAGTTAACTAGAGTTAATCAAAATAGAAGATAAAACTCCCGGCATAATATATAAATACTTAAACAACATACACGCGCTCGATAAGTATTTATACGATTATTTGAAAATTTTCTTAACGATTAAATCTGTTATCTTTCATATTAATTTCGAAGTTTGGATACAATTACGAAGATAAGAGATCGTAAGTAACGTTTCATAGCAAGTAATTATAGTGTATAGCAAAAAATCATGGAACATTATGTACATAGAGCAAACAATGGCTACTAATGACGATAATTAATTGTCACAATTAATTCCAATGCTCCTTGAGTCTCGGACAAAACCCCCGCATCGAGAATATCATCGACTACAACGGACGTCTTTCGAAACTTAGAAGGCAGATGCAAATACTGCAGTAGTTCTCAAATCAAGCTGCTATTTGTTATTAAACTTTTCAGAAGCATTCGCGTCGCTACGCATTTATGAGGAAAAAGAAAAAAAAGAAGAAAGCTAGTGTTATCGGTGCCCACGAAAGCTACGAATTCCGATGTTCAACGAACTCGTTTAAAATCGAATTATTTTGTTATTAAAAAGAAACCACCTTCTATCACAGAATTAGCATCGTTTCTGTTGCAAAGACGAGAGAGTCACATACAAATTGATTTACCAAAGTAATTTCGTTGAATCAACGATCGTAACGGCGCTTATGCTCGGAAAATACTCTTCTTTACGGCTGAATACGAAAGATTTGTTGAAGATAATTATAAGATGAAAACTACGTACATTGCACTCCATCGGAAAGAAACAACTACTTCTTAAAACTTTTGGGACCATTCTCATTAAGTATATGTTCGAACAAGCTCTCAAGGGCCAACTTCAACGTAAACGATGCAATATTAAGTTTATTTTCGTCGATAAAGATGTAGGAACTTAAGGGTAATCAAAGAGGACGAAGAGAAACGAGAACGAGCTGCTCGATATCGATATTCGAAAAGATTTCAAAAGACGCGATCGAGTCTCGCGAGTTGCTCGCCTGCGCAAACGAGAATCATTTAGCCGTTTTTCAGCTTCTAATAAGAAATGATCTTTCGTGCAAAATACACCGTTCCAAGATTACAGTTCAACGAGCGAACCGTAACTGGCATAACTTTCAAATTATGTAAAACCAAGATAAAATTTATTACTTCGTTAGTACTCGTACTCGTATTTATATTAAAATATACTTCGAGCATCGTCAATAATTTCGTGGAATTTACGAGGTATAGAATTTATTTAGCACTTTGACTGCCACGTCACCCATATATGAGTAACAGAACCTTTAACAGTGGAACTAAAACAATTAATTCTCTCGTAAACAATTTTACGGTTTTAGACTGGCAGTCAACGTGTTAAGGTAGTTTTAAGTACTTACAGTAATGATTCTTAAAATGATCATCTGGAGTTGGTACATTCATCTTTCGTACAGCTGAGGTGAAATTCGACTCCAGTTTTTTAAATGTCGTCTTTCACTGGCTCTGAGGAGGATCTCTCAAGATGAAAGGAATAGAAACGTTCAACTTACGAATCACGTGTTCATTTTCAGAATCATTAGAGTATAAATCCGAATTCTGACTGGCTAAATTCCAACTCTTTCCAAGTATTTGGAAAACAAAAGTAGTAGTAGATTCAAATTTAAATAAAAAATAAGAACGATATCCATTCGATAGTCCAGATATATTCATTTCAATGAGGACTTCGATATTCCGAACGGTCGAGCTCTTGTAAAATCCACGGTAAATTTTTTCGTTCAACCTACATACGGTTGAACGGCACCAAAGCCGTTCCATAGATTTGGAACAGCTTTTGTTTCCAATCGTTCCGTAAACAAATGTAAAATTCCAAATCCATGTTCGTAGAAACAATCCCGAAACGTTGACCTCCGTCGAATATTTATTTTTCCCCCCTTCTCGTTCCGTTTCCCATGTCGTGACAGTTTTGTAAACCGTCGAACGTTAAACTGTCCCTTTGTATCGTTTTATTTACTCGTCCACGAACGCCTTTGACGTTTTATCGTATCGGAGCAACCGCCTATTTTTTACATTTTAAGTAATTCGTTGGGAAGCTACGAGTGTCGTTCAATAAGTTCTTAGAAGAAGATAGAAAAGCAAATTATTTTAGGTAGATTTTTTTTAATTTTTCAACATAATCTCCTTTTAGCTCTATACACTTTTCCAAGCGTTTCTCCAACTTTTTCAAGCCATGTAAAAAGTAAGATTTCGGAAGGTCCTCAAAATAGGCAACTGTGTGGCGGTGACCTCCTCGTCTGACGTGAACCGTTGTCCGCCCAGCTATTTTTTAAAATTTAGAAATAAAAAAGAGTCACTGTGGACCAAATCCGATGAATACGGTGGATGTTGTAATAATTCGAACTTTAATTCCATGATTTTGGCCATCAAAACTGCACAGGTGTGCGCCCGTGCTTTGTCTTGATGGAAGAGGATCTTTTTCTTTTTCAAATGAGGACGTGTTTTCTTGACTTCTTCGCTCAACCGGCGCAATAACGATGCATAACACTCCCCAGTTATTGTTTTTCCTTTTTCCAAGTAACCGGTGTGGATGATTCTGTTTGTATCCCAAAAAACTGTAACCATCATCT